AGGTGATGGTGACGTCATGTACACAAACGCGTCCTGGTTGCTTCTTCTGGTCTTATTTTCTGTCTCTCCGAGAAGTTTTGCTGTGGATGACCACCGTCACCACCTGGGTGAGCGCCTCTACCTCTCTAGCTTTCCCAGACATGCCTTCTGCAAGTATCGGCGCCGTCTACGACGTCTAATATTAAGATAAAATTGTGAGGTGTAATGCAGGTTTGAGAGACGCTGCGGGAGGGACGACATTGACATTTTGTTTTTCTCAGGTGAGGGGGAATACATATTTTGACTTTCAACTATAGTTAATAGTCCAGAACATTGCATATAACAGGGAAAACCTCGCGGGGAGCTTGTACAGATGATTTTCGAAGTTGTTAGTCCGTTATGACAGGTGCTGTTATAGTTGTTAAGTTTCGGGCGTCAGAAGAGAGCAATGGACGATGGTATATATAAATACTGCATTTTTTTTCTTTGTGTGGTACAAATAATGTAGTTTACCTGCAAGAAAACATTAGTGGGCACAATAGAGCCACTAGTATGCAAAGCATTACGGGCAAACTGATCCTAATATTTAAAACTTACTATTAAGTTATTACAAGGATCCCAATGGAAATAAGTTACTCTGACTTTTTTGGGATTATCCTGGGTAATCTGCACATATACTGCTATGTATGATAATGTGTGAAACTGTGTTCATGTGTACCTGTAACTGAATAAACTTATTTAATTAGTTCTTATGCAGTTAACTACAATTATATATACAATTGAAAAAGGTAGCTAATGAATAAATGATAATTTCAGAAGTATGACTTATTATTTCAAAACTTATTTAATGATCTTCAGTTTTGTGGAGTGATAAAATAGAAAAGGTGAAGATACAGGAAGTTACTTAGTTATAATAGAAATACATGTAAATTTTTTCTTTAAATGTAGCTACTAATAATAGCTGGTCATCATTAATCAAGTATGGAGGAAATAAGCAAAAACATTATAAGCAGGAAGGAATGCTGTAATAGGTCTGCAGGTCACTACATAAGTAAGATAAGATAAGATAAGATAAGATTTCGTTCGGATTTTTAACCCCGGAGGGTTAGCCACCCAGGATAACCCAAGAAAGTCAGTGTGTCATCGAGGACTGTCTAACTTATTTCCATTGGGGTCCTTAATCTTGTCCCCCAGGATGCGACCCACACCAGTCGACTAACACCCAGGTACCTATTTGCTGCTAGGTGAACAGGACAACAGGTGTAAGGAAACGTGTCGGAATGTTTCCACCCGCCGGGAATCGAACCCGGGCCCTCCGTGTGTGAAGCGGGAGCTTTAGCCACCAGGCCACCGGGCCACCATGTAAGTTTATATAGGTACAGTTACACAGGTTTCAAGTGATTACAATTGTCTTGCATAAATTAAATTACCTAGAATAATGCACAAGTGTCAGTGGCTTATTTCCACTGGGGTCCTTAACTGGGTGAGCCACCACTGGACTATGAGTCACTGTATAGTTGTAGGCTAATTAGTGCATTACTTTCAGTAAGTATTGCTATTTTAAAGGTGAATTAACTAAAACAGTTGCAGAAATATGAAGCTTACATATCTAATCAAGAGTGACCATTATTAAGTAAAAATTTAGGAGGAAAGAAATACGTACTTAGTCTTATTTCATAATTTAGAAATTATGCTATGTATTATTGTTTATTATATTTTTTAAAACTATCTCCCACTAAGGTAGGTTCACCCAAGAGATAGTATTCACATTTATTCACTACCTTGCTGAAAGCATGTCAACATTACAGTTCAGATAACCCTCCAGACTGGAACATCCTCACTCCCCCTTCAGAGTGCAGACACTATGTTTCCACATCTAGGATTAAGTCCAGCTAACCAGTTTCCTTGAAACCTTTCTAAATGTTATAGTGCTCACACTCCCACAGCACATTGTCATAAAAAACTCTTGTATAAACCCAGTGTTAACCTATTCTTTACCTCCACCTCTCCCCAACCCTTCCTACACCAGCACTTACCCCCTCCTTTATTCCACCCCAGATTCATGTACCCTCTGTCATCCTATTTTGCTCCATCCTCTCTAAATTCCCTAACCACCTAAATCTCTCCTCAGGCCTCTGAATTATACATTTGGTAACCCCCACATCATCTAGTCTCCACCCTCCTATTTCTCTACATAATTTTCATACCACCCATTGCCCTCATTGCCACCAGCCTCCTTGTAGCTGGTACATTTGAAGCCCATACTTCACACCCGTATAACAGTGTTGGTACCACTGCTATGGTACATTCCCCTTCTTTCCTTCATGGGTAAAGTTCTTTATCATCACAGATTCCTCAGTGCACCACTCGCCTATTTCCCCCATTGTGGTTCACCTTATCTTTCATAGACCCATCTACCAACACAGTCACTCCCAGATATCTGAATGCGGTATATTTACTTTCTCCATACTTCCTCCTCAAAAGAAATTACAAGGACCCCAATGAAAGCAAGTCTCTTTGACTTTTTTTTTTTTTTTTTTTTTTTTTTTTTTTTTTTGGTTATCCTAGGTAATTTACACTATGTATGATAATTGTACTTATGTGTACCTGTGCATAAATAAGCTAATTTACTCCCTCCAATCTGATATCTCGTAGTATTTCATTACCTTGATTCCTTTGTTACTCTCATCACCATGCTGTCACCTTGCTCTTTCCCAAATTCTTCTGCCAACCTTTGCAACTTCTCTTCAAAATCTCCCAGAAGTGCCACATCTTCAGCAAAGAGCAACTGTGACAACTCATTTTGTATCGAAGTCATTATCTATCTCTTAATCTCACGCTGCACCCCAGTGCATTAGTATTCCCAGCTTTTTTAGCTCTGTCTATAAATATGTTAATCAACCATAGTGACATAACATTCCTGCCTAAGGCCTGCTTTTACTGAAAAATAATCCCTTCATATCCTGCATACTCTTAACCTGAGCTTCACTTTCTTCATAAAACCTCCATTGCTACCTCCTCTGTGCATTTGCCACATTTGTAGCAGTGCTCCCCTATCCGTCCTACATACATCTTTTCTAAATCCATATATGCGATAAAGAGTTCCTTGCTTTTATCTGTTTACCTGTTTTATTCAATAGGCTTATTTCCCTAGAATTCTTATGCACCTTTATGCTCTTTTTTCATTTATATGAAGAAACTATGCATGCTCTCTGCCAATTCTCGGGTATCCTCCCTTTTTTCATGCATATATTGAACAAACACTCCATGCGAGTCATTCATCACAGGGAGTGGTGGTTTGATGTTCCATCTGCTAAGAGTGGAAGCAAACATAGGAATAAGTAAACAGTAGTGAATGCCAGCTGGATTAACCCTTTGACTGTTTCGGTCGTATATATACATCTTACGAGCCACCGTGTTTGACGTACGTATACTCGTAAATTTTACCGGCTTCAAATCAAGCAGGAGAAAGCTGGTAGGCCCACATGTGAGAGAATGGGTCTGTGTGGTCAGTGTGCACCATATAAAAAAAAATCCTGGAGCACGCAGTGCATAATGAGAAAAAAAAACTCCCACTTTTTTTTTTTTTTTTTTTTTTTTTTAATTAAAATGCAGACTTTGTGATCTATTTTTGTATAGTATTTATGGTTGTATTCTCGTTTTCTTGGTCTCATTTGATAGAATGGAAAACATATTAAAGAATTAGAGGTGATTTTGATTGGTTTTACTATAAAAAGAACCTGGAAATGGAACTCAAAGTAGGGGAAATGTTTGATTTTTGCCGATGTTCAAAAGTAAACAAATAATGTAATTGTCCAATCAATGTCCAACTAGCTATTCTAATATGCAGTCATGAATGGGTTGACATTATTTGTACAATTATTACGGTATTGCAGTAGTCTGCATAACAGTAAATCTTCTATTTATTTTTTTTGTTTGAATAAAAATTCATAATAGAAAGCAAGAGTAATATGAGAGGGGCCTAGAGATGTGACTGATGAACAAAGAAAATGTTACTTTAGAGCCAGGAATGTCTGCATTGTTCATTCTGGACCTTATTTGAAATTGTCATATTTTTTAATTTTCATGAAATTGGCCAAATTGCAAATATCTGACCACGTTATTGGGTAGCTGAAATCGGTAAATGGGCAGTTTCTTGTACTCGATCGATAGAAAAAATGGAGTTCTAAAGAAATAGCTGAGTTTGGTCGACTGGAACAATGGAATTAGCTGAAAATAGGGCTCAAAGTGGGCAAAATAGCCGATTTGTAAATAGTGCCAAGGTTGCTAACTTCGCGAGAGCCTAATTCCGTCAGTTTTCCATCATTTTTTTTTTTTTTTTTTTTTTTTTTTTTTTTTTTTTTTTTTTTTTTTTTTTTTTTGGTGGTGTCATTACAATCAGGGATAGATTCTCTATCATTTCATAAGATTTTTTTTTTTTGTTTTTTTAAATTTTGCAACACCAGGAGACACCTCAGAATTGGGGGTTGCGACAGTTTAGGGGTTAAATTAGTATTATGCCATGTTTTAAAACCTCTTTTGGATTTTATTATTTTCAGGCAAAAATATCAGTGCAGTGGAATCTCTACTTAACCCTTAAACAGTCCAAACGTATATATACGTTTTTTTCAACATCTGAAAGTATGTAAAAAAATGTAGATCTTCTGTTTTGTTTTACATTTGAAAATGTGTAAAAAAAAGTAAATCTACTTTTGGAGCACTACAAATTTGAACGTCGATCTGTTTGGACTGTTTAAGGGTTAATGAGCGCATCCACATGCGAGATTTTCCAGATACGAGCAGTCGCTCGGTCAATTTTTTGCTTCCATACACGAGCGAAATTTCCAGATGCGAGCGGGCCTTGAGGGAGGTTCCTTGATACTGGTGAAGGGCTCTTGATCTTGATCTAGGGAATTGGATCTCAGTTGTTTGTTGGACTATCTTATTGAAACTTGGGCATCATATGATGGAATGGTGCTTCTTAACGTACACCAAAAATGAAAGAAATCGGACCATAAATATAGAAGTTCACTTCTCAGCCATTAGCCTCCCCTTAGCGGTATATTTTCGTATGGCTTTTATGGTTGTATTCTCGTTTTTTTTGGTCACGTTTGATAGAATGGAAGATATACAGGTCAGCCATCACTAATCCAGCATCATTGGGACCTGCACAATTTCTGAGTCAGTACAGTATAAAGATGAAATTTGAGCCAGTATAAAGATGAAATTTGAAATTATTCTAGCTGAAATTAGTGCCAGATTACTGATGGAACCGGATAACTGATTGCAAGATTAGTGATGGCTGACCTGTACTACAGAAATAGATATGATTTTGATTGGTTTCAAGACAAAAATTACCTTCATATTAAGCTCAAAGTAGCAGAAATGTTCGATTCTTTATCGATGTTCAAGAGTAAACAAATGATGTCACTGTCGAATACCTGTCTGATTGGCACTGCCCTTCAACCTTCACATATTGGAAAGCTCTTCATCATGCTAGCAAAAGTGGGAACAGACAACATGAAGCAGCAGTGGCAAACAGTATGAAGCAGCAGTGGCAGACCTTTTACCTTGAAGACAACCTTATTGTACCCTGGTAGCAACCTTATTGTACCCTGGTAGCATTAAGAGTGTAGCAATTATAAGTCACTCTGATTTTTTTTGGGTTATCCTAGGTTCTCTACACATGTAATCAGGAGTAGTAATGTCCGCTGTGGTGGCCCTCTAAACCCCAGCAACAACAGTGGCTGCTGTCACCACCACTAGCCACATACATAATGAATGTTTCTATGTTATTAATATTGTTTATTATGTCATATTAGATGAATTGTGATAGATAAATAAGCCATAGAGTTGATATTAGGGAAATTATTGAAGTATTTTGTTGTGCCTGGAATTCCACTGGAATGGATTAATTCCATTTCACTTAATTTAAATGAGGAAAGTTGACTCTTACTAATGAGCAAATCCAGATGCGAGCAAGGTCACGGAACGGATTAAACTCATGAGTGGAGGTTCCACTGTATTGTTTGGATTGGGTTTAATTTTTTTAATTAACTTTGAAATATGATAAAAGATTTATTTTTTGCCCACACAGTGGACTTAATGAAGTCAAACAACTCTTGAGAGTGCCAGTGAGTACATATAGAGATGAGAGTGAGGTGAAGAGACAGGTAGGGTGCAAGATATGTGGTGGGTGAAGGGCCTGCCTCACTTGGGTCAGCAGGTTTATTGCAGTGCACCATTGAACTGTTATAGGGGGAATATGATCTAGAAGTTTCATAGCAAAAGCAGTTTAATAAAGTCTACTGTATGGGGTGAAACATCATCAATAAAGTTCACATTATAATGCATTTGTCTTTTCCCATTATGTTGGTATTATATTATATACCATTTTATACATAACCTTGAAATATCCTAAAGTTTCCTTTCTACCCAATGTTGAAATAAAAAAAATGAAAATCGCAAATTTTATTTTCAAGACAGTATGCAGTACATAAATACTGTACAGTACATTATAACAATTTGAAAAGACCATATGCTCAGCATTTCGGAAATGAGATGTAGTATAGCTCCTCGGTGCCATATTTCGGCTAAAAAAAACACCTCGGTACTACTTTACATGTACAGTATGACTATTCATCCATGGACACTGACTTACCTTGAACAGTTCATAGCAGATGAAAGAATTTTAACCCTGTCACAAAGATATAAAGTCTCATATTTTGAATTTCTTGATTTATAGTGTTAAATTCACAGTAAGATTAAGGTACAATTTATTCTTTAGGACTTTTTTTTTTAATTAAACTCGGTGACATTTATTGGTTACAGTTTTTGCCGAAATAGTATCCTTATACTAGTATTTAGAAAATTATACATACAGTAATTGCATTGAAGCAAAGGTAATTAAAATGTATTAGTACTTTTTTCATAGTACAGTACTGTACTGTATTTCATCTAATGCTCAGTAGACAGGTTTCTTAATTTACAACATTGATAGTGTTATTACAAATAACTTTAGAAAAAAAAAAAAGACTAATCATGTCTGCTACCTTTCACACACAAGCATCAATTGAAGGATTTAATTCTTGAATGAGTTAATGTAAGACAAAAAGGTGACCTTGGGAATATACACCCAAACAACCATGAATCTCTGTAATGCACTGTATCGGTTGATATTTTCAACAGATCACATACTGTGCCGCAAATGTGGAACGGAGTTGACAGAAAACTCTCGGGGCAACTTTGTAAATATTACTAGTCCATTGTCGGAGTCCACACACCAGTTGTCGGTCCTTGGCCACTCTCATTTGATGGTACAGACACTTAGAAATCCCGCTGATGTAACTTTCAATCTGGTGATGGTGAAAAGATCTGGTTGTTCTGGCATTGGAGAGGTGAGTATCTTTTAGACAGAGTAATATTTCATCAAATTCTCCACAAGACAAGCTTGAAGGCACATGTAAAGGATGCATTTAGGTTATAGGGGAAATATAAATTATGTTCTGTACCGGAAATGTTACTCAGAGAATATAGCAAGAGTAATTTTTAGTAAAGATATAGTTTATGATAAGAATAACATACTAAATGAGATGTGTGAAATATTTATTTTTAAGTATACTGTAGTATAATGTCTGGAAGTTTCCAGAGTTATGTTTAGGAAATGAAATACTGTAGAGTTTCTTGGAAAATCTTTGAGCCTTGTTGAAGTTTAGACACAAAAAAGGCCTTGTAAGAATTTGAAAAATAAATCACTGCATTTTGATAAACAGAATATCAGATCATAGTAAATATTCTTATTTTCCCCATTATCTATATATTCTATTTTTTTGTTTCTGTGAATAGGATATGGCATACCTAAAGATGGTTCTGGGGTCTTCACCCCTGCACTCTTCTCTTACACCAGGCTACCTGGTTGATACCTTGGTCAGTCAGGCTGTTGGTGCTAACTGCCTGTACTGAATGAATAAGGACAGTTGGTATGACATTGTCTTCTTAAAATTAGATGTAGTATTAGGTGGTCAGTTTCAGTGATTGAGGACTGTCGTGAAATTATTCTGCAGTGCACTTCGTTTAACCCTTTTGCTGTCTCTTACGTAGATCTACATTATTGATACCAGCATCACTTGTAGATCTATACTCTCAGCACAGTGCCCTCAAATATGCCAGGAGTGGCAAATTTTGATCTAGACATAAGAGTAAGAGAATGGGTCTGTGAGGTGTGTGTGCAGTATCGAAAAAAAAAATCTTCTCATGCAGTGCTTCATGGGAAAAGTAAACCTCAGATCTTGTATTTAGTTTAAAATAGTGACTTGGTGTTTTCATTGTTTTGTTGGCTGAAGACATACTACTGAAACTGAAATGATTTTAGTTTGTTTCAGGATTTGAAGTAGCTTGAAATAGGGCTCAAATGAGCAGCAGAAATATTAGGTTTTCTTGATTTTTCTGAGGAAGAGGCTCCTCTTACACCCCATCCCCCCTCTCTTTTGAGGGTTTTTACTAGGTCTGCTTCAGTTATTGGGACATCCTAAACCCTTCAAAATGAAGGGTAAATGTAATATTGGAGAGACCTGGGGACATTAGTGAAAAGAGGATAGGTTACTATAGTTCTGTTTTTAATTGGAATTTGTTGAATTTTGTGTAAAATTGGCCAAACTACAAAATTCTGTGTAGTTGAATGGGAAGTTTCTTGTGCGCAATTGATAGAATAGAAGGCATACTAGTAAAATAGCTAAAAATTTGTTCAAAATGAGCAGTGGAAGTGGCTTAAAATAGGACTCAAGGTGGGCTAAATCATTGAAATGTGAATTACACCTAGACTGCCAACTTTGCACCTACATAATCAAATTTGGTATTTTTGGTCTCGATACATTCAAAAAAAGATTCTCTACCATTTCATATTTTTTATTTATAAAAATAAAGGTTAATTGGGTTGTGTATTCCTTGGACCATTAGCAGTCTTAAGTTCATAAAATGTCTGGTGCTTGTAATTTTACAAGATACATCTCACCTTCATGTTGAGAGATGTGGCTGCAGTCAGTATTAATATTACAATCCTTGTTTTCCCTCTTCTTTCTCCTCTTCATGTTCCCTTTTCCTTTTTTTCCTATTTTTCATCTTTTGTTCTTCCCCTCTTTTTGATTTACCTCTTTCCTCGCCATCATTTCTTTCCTCCATCTGACCTTCCTACGTTGCATTTTCTCTTTCCTTCCCCCCACTTCCATTCTTTCTCCTTTTTTCCTCTTCCCCTTTCCTCTTGGGCTCTAAAAATACCAACATGCATTATGGTTTCTAGTGTTACAGCCTGTTGTACATACTCTATCAGTCACGCCAGTTGGATGTCTTGTTCCAAGGCATGATAGAATGTAAGACCCCCCAAAATGATGACAATTATTGATTTCTCTTACCATCTTTGTTATTCATTGCCAGTTAAATAAATTGTCATTAACACCTTCAAAAGTTTCATATACATCTAATTTATTTTTAAGATATTAGAAGCTTTATTTTGTAATAGTTCATTTTTATACCATGGTAATGTGTTTTAAACATGCTGTAGTACAGTAGATGCAGTTCTATTTGTAATATTCATACCTGATAATACAGTCAGTCTCTAACAAAGGAAATTGCCTCTAGCCCAAAAATACTGTAATTGTAAAGTGAATCATATATTTCTATAGACTTTGATTACAGGAGGGCCCTGTTTGTATGGCTGTAAGGTTCATGTACATCGGGTTGTGTGTGGCCAACAGTAACAGCCTGGTTGATCAGGCCCTGATTCACCATGAGGCCTGGTCACAGACTGGGCCCTGGGGGCATTGATCCCCCTGAACCCTCTCCAGGTATACACAACTGTTATATGAAAATAGTGGAAAAGTGGTGAAAGTACCGAACATAATGAACAATGGCTCAGTTGCAAACCAATGAATATGTGGAGCACTGAAAAGAGGGAGCTGTATATGCGGGGCCACCCTGCACATAAATATGTACTTCTCTTGGGGAAATTTCTTCACATACTAAAAAC